CATTCTTCTTACAGGCAATAGCACCACAACTATGTAAGACATCTTTTAAGACTTACAGCATTGCTTTCACATAAAAATTTTGGGTATAATTTCACTCTTCTTGCAAATGCAAGTAACATTAACAAGTTACGACCTCCACCTTAATCAAAAAAAATTTTGTCCAACACATTATAAATGTAGCATGGATGTCATATTTCGAAGCTGCTCTCATTCTCCTTCCCCTTTGAACCCATGTATCATAATTGTATTATTTGTGACATTTATAGTAAATGATCTGCCCCATCTATAAATAAAAGGAGCCATCACATAAAATGAGATGAATCTCAGAACAATGTATAATAGAGATTTTCTAGTGAACCCTCTCTCTATTCCGGGATCTCCTCCATCTTCCTAATTTTTTTCCTCGGTGTGTTAGTCTAAGGACAAATCGAGAGCCAACAATAAATCAACATGATTATTTTTTTAGCTTAATTTATAAAATACCAACTAACTTTAATTCAATTATCAAATTTTTATTTACAAAAGCTGACTAAATAACTAAAGAGTTAATAATATTATAATATTTTTCTCTTAACTTATTTTGTTGGATTCAAAAATTATTAAAATTTTGTATTCCTTAAATCATTTAAAGTTAATCTTGAGCCGAAAATACGCTTGAATGAACACACAAATTTAAATTAAATCGAACTCGAACAAGTCATTCACAAGCGATTTCGAACACGGTCTCATTTTGAGCAAAAAAAATTCTATTGAGCAAAACACGAACAAGAATAAATACCGAACTCCTCAAGCTTGGCTTGTTTACACCCATAGTGAAATACTCCCAAATCACAGTTCCAGTGGAGCTAGCTATATTTATAAATTTTATTATAAACTAAGAAGAAAAGTATTTCTATTGGTTAAAGTCTCCAAATTACTTCCCAAGTCTCCATCAGCTTACCACTGAAGTTCCACGTAAAAAGACATTTGATGTATTAATGTAATGCAAATTAAGGAAGAAAATCCCCATTATTTTAAGTTTTATTTTTTGGCCATTGATGAAAAATATAATCAAAAGCAGATATTTCCAATAGTCGAAAATGGAGGGTTTCTATGTATAGAAAATTTTAAAAATGATCATCATTCTATGGCCAATTGTCTGGATAGCTTAACAGCCTCCTGCTCTGCTCTACTGGGCCCACGTTAAATAAAACAAATTGATGGTTATATATTTGACGCATGCATTTATGGGTCTAATTCTCTCTCTCTCTCTAAAGAAGAATAAATATTTAACAAATTATTTATATAAAATATATATGTAGAATAATCTAATATATATCATAATAACATAAAACTGTTTTTATGACCTATATCAATTTCATGAGTCATATTCCTCCTCTCAATGCAGTTAAAAGTTAGATTAAAATATCTAAATTATTAGACATTCAAAATATAATCATAATTAGTGTGTGCTAGAAGATTTGCGGCAATAAAATGATAATTTAACTTCTCAGCATTTTATGAAAATCTAACAAATACACAAAGATAATTGCAAAGTAGCAGGAGAAGAAATCAAAATTTTTTTACATGAAAAAATGTGAAAAAGAAAATAAATTATGGGGTCTAGTCCAATGTTGACCTCACTTTTGTGAGGAATCACTCCTTCTACTTGTACATGACCCTAAACCAAAATTATGCCTTTCTTGGGCTTCGCCACTGCAAGCCCAAACCCCCAACCCTTGGTTGAATGAGTTTTGCGTTTTGACCAGGTGAGGAACCCGAATTGACCACCATGGGCTAGATATGCCCTAGGTCACCCAAATTAACCCAAAATCAAAGAGACTTGCCTATGGACTGTGGTAGGAACCTCTTTGACCATGAAATCCACCTTGGGAGAGGGGTCTACCTAAATTGATCCCTAGCCTCACCAAAGGCCGTCTAACCCTACCAAACCCTAAAAATCAACTCAAACTCCAATGTGCCCTTTGACCCCAAAATTTGATGGCAAATTGGGATGGTAAAAATCAACCGAGCCTCCCCCAATTTTGACCGAATTTTGATCAATTGACCACATCCCTATCAAATTAAGCCTCACCGAAAATGGTCATGACACCACACCACGTGGTGGACCCAATTGCCACTATGGGGCCAACCACCATAATTCACTTAATTAATTAATTTATTAAGTGAATTTTTTTAAAATTCCATCAGGGTCTAGGCTAAAAAGAAACCCAACCCATCTAGCCCAAATCCAAAACCATAAGACAAGACCCAACCAAAACCCATGGCCCATGGCCTATCCTTAATGGGTCACCCATGACCTAGTACCCACCTAGCATAATATATGGGTAACAAACCAAGCTAAACCATGATAAATTTAACCCTTGATTGGTGAGCTTGGCACCGTTCATCATGGCTCATCATGGAAAGGGACACATGCTGCCTAGCCCAATCCTACTTCGATCAACCCTTGATGGGTCAAACCAGATCAAGTCTGGTCTATGTTATCCACCTAAAAGCCATCCAATCATCTCAAAGCTTCCTTATACGCCTCCCCCATCTCCAAGCTCATCACCATGGTCAAGTCGCCATGGAAACTTGAAGAGTTTCCCTCCACTGCCCACAATCCTTTAAAATTCCTCTGAGAACTCTTTGAAGAGCCTCCCAAGCATTTCTAATCACAACCAAGCTCTCCCATGGCCTCTCATGGCTACTTAAGGAAGGAACTCGAGAGCCTTGAGCATCATCAAACTCCCTATCCAACCTCCAAAATCTCTACCTCTCAACAGAGAAAATGTCCCTCTTGACTTAGGCAATCAATCCCCCTTGTCCTTAGGCCACCACCACTATTAGCAAACCCTAATTTCTCTGCCCTAATTCAGAACTATTTTTGGCCTTGACATGAACCCTTTCAAAACTCAATTTAAACCTCCTAAAAGCTTCTTCGAGCCTTAAGACGATCTCCCCAATCAAAATTAGAGCATTCTGCGCTCTCCAACCTATCCCAACACCAACATGAGCCACCATTTGGTCTAGCTTATAGCTATGACCAAGTTTAGTTCAAATTGAAGTAATGAGGAGGCTCATGACATTAAGGAGAAGCTCTCTATCAATTCCAATCGAGGCCTTGCCTCTTGGGACAAGGTATGGATCAAAAGTCCTAAAATTAGCCTCTGGTTTGGTCTTTTGTGAAAGAAATAAACAGTCCATGCTCATTGAACCATATTGATATGTTCGTCTAGGTAAGATGAAGCTTTTGGAGCAAAGCTCGAGTTATTTGGTTGAGAATCGAGAAGATCATTGGGTTTGATCATGGGCAGTTCTTGGTTCTTCGTACCGTGGGGACGATGAACTGATGTCATCCATTTCCATGTATTGGAAATGGACAGTGTGAATCAAGTCGAACCACCAAACTGCGAGGGGAGGAGAGCACTGAACTGCTGGCCACCTCAGCACCCGGGTGGAAAGTGCATCCAACCGGTGGAAAATGCGTGGACTTTCAAAATTTTGCATGATGCCAATTACAAGCTCTTATCCTCACGCTTAGATCTGATGCAGGTGGATAATTCAAGAACAAATATGTTGAACTATTAAACATCTGTGGTATCATATAATATTATTTGCTTCCACGCACCAAAAGATAATGATGTAGTAGAACATAAGTGTCATCACATTACAATATTGATTATTACTCATTGATGTCTACATTTTGCATACCCTATGGGTTGTTACACTACTAACCACCATGTACCTTTATAAATCACCTATAATTGACAATCACAAACTTCTTTTGGTCTATCATGTAATTTATAATAGAACGTCACATTATCATTGCCTATAGGTCTTTTTAGTACAACTGTCACCCTCTTCTTCCCACACATACCAAACAATTATAGTGAGCAAATAGACATTATACTTGAAGAACAACAACTTTTACTCAAACAAACCCCACCTCAAGCTTTGTCTTAAACTCAATTGCAATAAATCACTCTCCCGACTCACCCTCATTTTGATAACTCACACAAAAGACACAAAAACTCCAAGACTAATTATTTGCTAATACCCATAAAAGGCTCACACATCCTTCTTCAGATCACTTAGCCTCATTCCTAGAAAAATATTGGCATATAATATATATATATATATATATATTGCAATGGAGAAATTCAAGAAGCGAACATGTTGGCCTATTCATCTGTACTATCTTCTTAAGTTCTCATTTACGAACATCAGCTTGTATCTCCAATTGGTAACACAGACACGCCGGTCTGTTGGTCCCCAGACTTTCGCGATAAGTGGACCCCACACTTCTCAGATCCGATGCCACCTAATATTTCGAACCTATTGGAAAGCACCACGTAATTTGATGTTTTATTTCCGTCCAATTAACGAAATAATGCTTTTCTTCCAAAATAAAAATGTATGATTGAGGAATTGTTACCAAAATTTAGTGTTTTTCAATCATCGTTATAATCATGTTACAAATTTTTTGTCCACGTAATCATTGTTTTTTTGTTTTTTTTTTTGTTTTAGTGGATGTCTTGTATTCTCCTATGGTTTGAGATCTCTCTGTAGTTCACTTGATTTCTTGGGCTTAAATTGGATGCTCTGTGATTATTTTGTCTCTAGTGGTTTCCTGTTTGCTGATTTAGCAGCTTCAGTCACTATTTGTCCGTCTGAGTGGGTGACCTTAATGATCATGTAATTATTTGCAGAGTTTGATTTTGCTGATATGGTAGGTTTATGATGATTCTTCATTGCTTCTTGATATTCCTCTATTGCATGTTCTGGCTTTGGCTCTTTGTTGGTGTTAGGAAATTTCTCTTATTCTTGAAATGTTAGATGATTGTGTTGATTATAACAATAAACTTATAATTACAAAGATTAGCATTCATAATTTATTTTAATGTTTCATTCAATAAATAAATAATTTTATTAGTTTATTATCTTAAATTAATATCCATAAAATAAAATTAACACATTAAACATTAATTAAAAAAAAAAAGCAACCACGTCCCTGTATATCATTTTCTCCTCCCTCCCCATTCCCTACCCATCATCTCTAATCATCTTCCCCCACAGAAAATAAAAAAGCCGTCTACTTTCGCCCACCGGAAACCTATGGAGACGGCCGCCCGCCGTTATCCCTTCCCATTTTAATTAAACTCCCTTCTTCCACTTCCTGCAACACACAACCATACCCTACACCTACCAATACACGATGGGCACCGAAAATGAACTTTCGCCGCCGGCGACTCCCACCGCCGGCGATGATTCGGTCCGCAAAGTACTATTCGGCAAATACGAGATGGGCCGACTATTAGGTCAAGGCACCTTCGCCAAAGTATACCACGGCCGGGATCTCCGCTCCGAGGAGAGCGTGGCCATTAAAGTCATCAACAAGGACCAGATCCGGCGAGAGTCCTGTTTGTGCGCTCAGATTCAGCGCGAGATCTCCGTCATGAGACTTGTGGTTCACCCCAACGTCGTGGAGCTGAAGGAGGTAATGGCCACCCGATCTCGCATCTTCGTTGTAATGGAGTTTGTCCGCGGTGGCGAGCTATTCTCTCTCGTCGAGCGCGGCCGCCTTACCGAAGATCTCGCCCGTCGATATTTCCGGCAGCTGATTTACGCCGTTGATTTCTGTCACTCGCGCGGCGTTCCGTGATCTGAAGCCGGAGAACCTCCTCGTCGACCAATCTGGGAATCTCAAGGTCTCCGATTTTGGACTCTCTGCTCTTCCAGATCAGCTCCAGAACGACGGTCTTCTGCATACGCAATGTGGTACGCCGGCGTACGTCGCGCCGGAGGTTCTCCGGAGCCGTGGATACGACGGTGATCGGGCTGACATATGGTCATGCGGCGTCATCCTCTTCGTGCTCCTAGCAGGATTTCTCCCTTTTCAGCATGAGAATCTTCTGCGAATGTACAGCAAGGTCTTCCGAGCGGACTACAAGATCCCGCCGTGGTTTTCCACTGAAGCTCGCCGGCTGATTTCGCGACTCCTAGTCGCTGATCCGAAGGATCGGATTTCGATTCCTGAAATCCTCCGCCACAACTGGCTCAGCTGCGCCGATTCCCCTTCTCCGATCTCAATTACACCGCCAATTTTACCTCAGGCGAAGGAATCGGATTCCGATGGGAAGGAATTAAGCGATTCGCCGAGATTCTACAACGCATTTGAGTTGATCTCGGCGATGGCGGATGGGTTCGATTTGTCTGCAATGTTCGAGAGGGATGGGAGAAGGAGGAGGAAGGGGACGATGTTCACGTCGCGGCGAACACCTGCGGCGATCGTGGTTGCGTTGGAGAGTGCCGGGCAGGGGCTAGGGTTTGAGGTAGAGAGGGGGGAGTTTAAGGCGAAGATGGAAGGTAGAGAGGAGGGGAGGATGGGAAAGTTGTCGATTACGGCGGAGGTGTTTGAAGTGGCGGCGGGCCTCGCCGTCGTCGAGTTTTCGAAGAACTCCGGCGATCGTCTAGAGTATGATAAGTTTTGTGAGGAGGATGTGCGCCCAGGATTGAAGGATGTGGTGTGGATCTGGGCCGGGAGATGAGTGGCCCGGTGATATCGTTAAGTTTTTTGGGCTAATCGGATGCTGTAAATATTGCCGCGTGTGTCCAGTGGGACCTGTGGGTTGAAAGGGATTCTGACTTCTTCTGTAAATGTTGTCTTCTTCTTGTGATAGTTGTGATGACTGAAGTAAAGTACAAAAGTTGCATGGGTCCGAGGAATGACTGTAGCTTGGGAAAAACTATTAAATGCAGTGCTCCGGATATATCTATAATAATAATGTATATTGTTGTGGATACATTGCATAATATTGTACAGTAATATTATACATGGAGTTATTCGAAAACATCATATTTTCTAACAAGACACTCCTTCGGCTATGCAAGACCGTCCAAATATGTAGTACTCAGCCAATGAAGACTTCAATTTAAATTTTCAAAACATTCTCAAGTTTGTGTTTATTTCTGATGTAGGCATGTATTTTGGTACATCACAATTATCCTCTCTATCAAATCCCAATGAACAAATTTATTGGATGTCACGAGATGCTACGAATGACATTACTGCTAATGATAATATTGAAGAACTTCAAGAACATCAGTTACATCATCGATCACTACGACCACTGTTACAATATAGACCGTGCTCGAGCGCTATTCGAACCCGATATAAAAGATAATATTTTTTTTTTGTAAATATTATGCTAGTTGATTTAATGTGTTAATTTCAATATAAAATAGATTTATAAATTTCAAAATTTCTTAGTTTATTTAGTTTGTTCAATTTTGTTTTTTAATTAATTAAAAATTAGTTATAATACTTTATAACGTATAGACTAAATAATAATAATATTTATACTCTATTTAATTATATATATATATATATATATATATATAATAAAAGATACGCTCCTTAAGGAAAAAATTTTACACCCGCACTCTGGATGGCCGGACAACGGTCCGGATGCAACGGAGGAGGGGAGCAATCGGGCGTCGCCTTTCTCGCTGCATCGAAGCAGTCGTCGATCACAGTTTTTTTGTTTTTTTTTTTTAAATGAGGCCCACCGAAATACAGTTTTGTTGTGATCGACGGTCGAGATCAGACAGCACATGCATCTCTGCATGCACTGTCCGTATGGAATAATTTTTCCTTCTAAGGGGACACATTTCCTTTACATATGTGACTCCGTAGGAGCGCATCTGTTCTGCCCCGGGGGGGCCCATCTTTTTTTAAAAAAAAAAAAAAAAAAAAAAAAAAAAAAACAGTGCTCCAAATGCTTACTTGCAATATCTCTTGTTGCTCCTATTCATAATTTGGCCAAAAGTATATCATGTGGGATCAATTAAAGTTGCCAAGTGCTTATAATTTTTAAAGAAGTTTTCAGATAATTTCATATGAAATCTTATAAATATGTCATGCTATCGTACATTTGACATGGGATTTTGATAGAGTGAATCCTCGAATTTAAGGAATTGAAAGAATTTATTATCTTTCCGAGCCTTTTGAATGAAAATAATTGATATTGTGGTGAGGAAGGCTGATACCCGTCTACTACTCTCTCATTCACGTATGAGAAAAAGGTGCAAAGACCCAAAAAAATGTAAGGGCAACGTTTAGGCAGGTTTACTTCATTGATGAAGGGCTTTGGAGGAAGAAGACATAGTGAATAATAAGTAAATGTAATGGAGACATCAAGTCTTAAGATGTTTGGCTCATCTTTATGTGCCCACTATTCCAATCACAAAATAATGTTTTTAGTGTTAGTTTGATAGCTTGTACATAAAATTCATACATTCGACACATCTATTGCAACTCCTCTTGATGAAATAAATCTGTAATGAATTTTCACTACTGAAATATTAGGGGTATAAATTGTTATCTTGTCTGCCGAAGAGTTGTGTCAAGAACAATATGTCGTTGAAGCCATGATATATGTATGTCTTTGAAATGAGAAATTTTGTTTCATGACGATCAATTATTATCATGTCAGCATTGATTGGCAACAACATAACTCGTTGAACTAGCCAAATGATCTTTAAAAATAAAACTTTGGCTTATTGATGTTCGTTAGATGGTTTTTTTTATCTCCTGGTATAGCTCTAATCCTAATATGAATTGAGAGAGGGCATGCATTATGTCAGAAGTTATAACGATAGCCTATTTGGCATGCAACGCATAGCCTCAATTTTAGTGCTATCTTCAACAAAGAGAATTGTACAAATGACGATATTTTGGAAGCCCAATTCAATGTTATTATGCCATTAGATTATCAAAGACTGTTTGGAAGGATGTCGATGAGCCGGTTCGAGGGACTAATTTATACCTACATGTAGTCATTATAGTTAAATTTTGATAAATTTAGATGCAATTAGGTGTGTGTATTCAGTTTGCTTGAAAATTTATTCGATTTTTTTCTTGAATGGAGATCGGATCGAAATAAACGAGCTGAGCTATGAGCCAAAACTTTAGACTGAATTTTTTTTCGAGAAGATTTGTAGCTATGCAGGGATCGTCTCTAACTGACTCGGAATCAGGTCAAAGTATTTTTTTTATTTATGAATATTATACATATAATGCTAGACAAAATCGAATATAACGAGTCACAAGCAAATTTTCAGCTATAAGAGATCCGAAAAATTCAACTTAAGCCACCTTGTTTCGATTTCAAGCTGAATCGAGTCAATTTTGAGCCCGAAAGATTCTAATAACACAATTTGATTGAACTCGTTTTGATTCGTGTCACATTGAGTTCAATTCAATTTGATATGGCTTGAAATCTAGTAAAACAAATCACGGGCCAATTTCGAGCCGCACTCAATCCATTCAATCCAGTCTCAACTCGACTTGAAATTATATTGTTAATAACCTCAAATGTAAAAGGGGTCTATACAGGTCGAGTCTGATCCATCGTCAGCCTTCACTTGATTAATTTTTTAAAATTCGAGCTTAAATCTATGAATTCAAGTCGATATTAAGGGAGAAAATAATATTAATTTAAATTAATATTCCAATAAATTGAATAATTATAAAAAATAAATGATCAATTAGAGTTAAAATATAATTTTTTATTTTTTAAAAATAAAATCATCAAACTTAATATATTTACATATATATATTTTTTAATTGAGCCAATCGAGAGCTTAAGCTTTTCTCCACACTTATGAAGCAAGGTTTGAGTCACTTGAAGGAAAAATTATTTAATACGGACAACATATGCAGAAATGTATACGCGGTCTGATCTACACCATACATCAATTTATTATTATTATTTCCTTAAATATTAAAAATGAGATCCACCTAGCTCACTCATCTTGAGTTTGACGAATTAGTTTTAAAACAATCTGTCTTTAAGGCAATCATTATAATTATTTATATGAAAAAAGTATGTTACTGCCCAGGATCGAACTGGGGACCTTTAGTGTGTAAGACTAACGTGATAACCACTACACCACAGTAACTTGCTCGAAATGATATTATTTAGATAAAATATCTATTATTCAGATTTTCTTTTTACAAGTACAATCGAGCTGCAAGTTATTTTGTCAAATAAGCAATGGAGCTAATGAGTTTTTTCAGAATGCACGCCTTACATATTCTTATAGGACTCTGCATTTTTTCATTTGAGTTGTGTAACTTTAATTAATACTTATCTAAATACACTATATAAAATAGTTAGAGATGTAAAATTATTGTATTTGTCCTTTTCTCCTCCTTTTTTGGGAGTCTACTTTTTCTTCTAATTTCTTTTTGTTATATTGATGAAAACTCACAAGGATAAGAGCAAGCTTACCATCATAAATTGTATTAAGAAAATAGGAAATGGTATCAATCAAGAATTTTTTAGGAGAGTTTTTGTGGATATTTGGAAGAAAATGAGATTCAAACATCAAACATGAACTTATCTCTGCTCATCTCTAAGATAACTTGAATAATATAAAAGTTGAGAAATTTGCTAAAAAAGAGAGGAGGATGATTTCCAAATATTGTCAAATAATTCACATTAGTTTTATGAGAAACTAGTCAACATAATTATTCTTCATTATTAAATTTTATGTAATTTTAATTCTTTTAGAGTCATTTGAAGAAGAGGGAGTCTAAAAGTGAAAACACTAAAAAAGAATCAAAAAGAAAAGATGTCAAACCTAGCATGGAGTGAAAGAGATGAAAATGTCCATAGCATGAAGATATCTAAGTTCTTCATTCAAACCCTAAGTTGTCTTCTTATTAATAGTTTATCCTTGATTTGACCCTATATGGAGCCTTGCCAGAAGTATCTTCTATCAATGTCACTTAGGATTTGAGGAATTCTTTCTTCTTAGAATTTTTTATTGCATATTCATGGAAGAGATGATGAGTCAAGGTTGTACGTCCTTCAGGATATACCATATATCTTTGTTGGGTGGCTTATACTCTAATCTAATCAGAAATTTATGGGATGCATCAATCCTTCATACAACCTCATGCGTGATGATGCAATCATTTTCTAATAGTCATGGTGTTCTAGTACGACTTTTGTGTCGAGAAGCTTCTTATAGAATCATTAGTGCCTAGCTATATAGTTTGATCTTCAATGTTAAAAAAAAGATTAATTGATGTATCAGAAAGTCATTCATTGAGATAAGAAATTGATCCAAAATTTATTTACATGCAAAAAAAAAAGCAATAAGCATAATATGCAACTTCTTTAAATGACTAGTTGGCCAGTGTTTAGCTTGAACATGAACTATCATATAACAATAATAATAAAACTCATGGTTCGTTCTTGATATTTATAATGCAAAAATATTTTTTATTTGTAGTTGAATCTATACACATATCTATTTAGAAGCCTTAAAAATCATGGATGAGTTTTTCAACAAAATCAAAATATGCATGTGAAATAGAAGGCATTTAATATGTAGTTTTTTAAATTTAAAGTCATGCATAGTTTCAAATGGTGAACGACCAACACTTTGCAAGCATAAAATTAACAGGCAAGCCCATACATATACATTCATGTATTTATGTTTGAAGTTTTAAGAACGTATCTCTTGAGCCCAATGGTGCACTTCATAATCAAACACATACAATTATGAAGCATGCCATTAGTTTCTTTTCTATGAGATTAATTACAAAGTATATAGATTTAATTATGTGTTGTAAGACGACAGATGCCCATCAAACAATATAGTATTTCAAGAGATGTGAGAATGGGTAGTTATAGAATCTACGCTTTCTTTTCTGTTGTCTATTTGAGTATTATCCATGTATTACATATTCTATGCTGCCCTTATTGAAGTGGAATTGTTTTATTGGCATATAAGGTTATTGAAGTGGAGAGAGAAGGTTCATGGTTAGTGGGATACCAAGGAATGGTCATATTTAATAAAAAAAAAAGGTTATTCAAAAGGAATGGTGGTAA